TCTCTTTTCCCTTCCTTTCTTCCTCTCTTTTCCCTTCCTTTCTTCCTCTCTTTTCCCTTCCTTTCTTTCTCTTTTCCCTTCCTTCCTTCCTTCCTGTCTCTTTTCCTTTCTTTTCTTCCACTTTCCCTTCCTTCCTTTCCTCCGTCCTTCCTTCCGTCCTTCCTTCCTCTCTTTTCCCTTCCTTTCTTTATTTCTTTTCCCTTCCTTCCTTTCCTCCGTCCTTCCTTCCGTCCTTCCTTCCATCCTTCCTTCCTCTCTTTTCCCTTCCTTTCTTTATTTCTTTTCCCTTCCTTCCTTTCCTCCGTCCTTCCTTCCGTCCTTCCTTCCATCCTTCCTTCCTCTCTTTTCCCTTCCTTTCTTTATTTCTTTTCCCTTCCTTCCTTCCTGTATCTTTTCCCTTCTTTTCTTCCACTTTCCTTCCTTCCCTCTGTCCTTCCTTCCATCCTTCCTTCCTCTCTTTTCCCTTCCTTTCTTTCTCTCTTTTCCCTTCCTTACTTCCTTTCTCTCTTTTTTCCTTTCCTTCCTCTCTTTTCCTTTCCTTCCTTCTTTCCTCTTTTCCCTTCCTTCCTTCCTCTCCCTTTACCCTTCCTTCCATCCTTCCTTCCTTCTTTCCTTCCTTCCTCTCTTCCCTTCCTTTCTTCCTCTTTCCCTTCCTTCTTATCTTCCCTTCGTCCTTCCTTCCGTCCTTCCTCTTTTCCCTTCTTTTCTTCCTCTTTCACTTCCTTCCTTCCCTCCGTCCTTCCTTCTGTCCTTCCTTCCTCTCTTTTTTCCCTCCCTCCCTCCCTCCTTCCCTCCTCCCTTCCTTCCTTAGGAAGCTTCCAGATCATCCGTCTGCCGAGTGGGACGTCCCTCTCCTCACAGAGCTAATCCTCTCACACATCGAAACCCACCACATTGATTTGGTAATTTAGTATTTTAAGTATTTCTCCCTGACTTCAAGTTTTCTTTGCTTTACAGACCCACAAAGGTCTTAAATCAGGAGTGTCAAAATCAAGGCCCTCGGGGCTGCCCTGGGAACAGTGAAGGATCCTTCTCAGGGGTGGGATTGAAATTTTTTTACTACTGGTTCTGTGGGCGTGGCTTGCTGGGTGTGGCTTGGCTTGGCGGGCGTGGCTTGGCGGGCTTGGCAGGGGAAGGATACTGCAAAATCCCCATTCCCTCCCGGTCAGCTGGGACTCGGGGGGGGTGGTGGTGGCAGAGAACAGATGGGGGCGGGGCCAGCCAGAGGGGGTATTTGCCGGTTCTCCGAACTACTCAAAATTTCCGTTATCAGTTCTCCAGAACTGGCCAGAACCGGCTGAATCCCACTTCTAACATCTCTGCTACTGTTATGCTGATTTCAGTCTGTTCGTGCACAGGCCTGACGTGCGCTGCGCACGCATGCCCTTGCAACAACCAGCTGCTTGTTGGGGCTTGCGCAGGCACCGCACGCGGTCCGAACGTGCACATTGTGTCTTTCGGCATAAATACAGCTATAGAGCGCGGGCGGGCAGATCCAAACGAGCCACTGTACCGGGACGCTCTCAGCTGCTCCAGGCCACGCCCGGTCCAAATCGGCAGTAACCAATCACTGTTGGGAGGGCTGGGTAGGGCCCACCTGAGCTCTGTTGTCGGCTGCGACGGCCTCCGGCAACCTTCTGCCAGAGGAAACGGAGCTCCCGTTTTCGCTGGCGGAGTGCTTGGGCCACCACAGGTGCCCCGACTCTTAAATGAAAGGGTCGATAGCAAAGTTACAAGTAGTCCTCGACTTACAACAGTTCGCTTAGTGACCACTCAAAGTTACAATGGCACGGAAAAAGAGGGACTTACGACCGTTTTTTCACACTTACAACTGTTGCGCCATCCCCACGGTCCTGTGGTTGACATTCAAATGCTTGGCAACTGACTTAAATTTACGACAGTCGCTGTGTCTCCCAGGGTCACATGATCTCCTTTTTCGCGAACTTCTGACGAGCAGAATCCATGGGGAAGCTGGATTCACTTAACAACCGTGTGACTCACTTAACGGCTGCAGGGATTCTCCTCACACCTGTGGCGAGATGCGTTGCAAAATGGTGCAAAGCTCACCAGACCAATGTCTCGCTTAGCAACAGAGACTTTGGACTCAATTGTGGTCATAAGTCCAGAACAATACTCCACACAAACCCTCGCTTGGAGCAGCTGTAAGAAGGGGGTCCATGCCAAAAGACCCCCAAGAAGGGGCTGTGGGGAAACAAGGGGGTTGGGGTGGCCCCTGTGGCTGGCGGAGTGTCCTTTGGACGCTCTCCAAATGTGGGGAGTGGGAGGGGGGCTTCAGAAGACCTTTTCCCTGGTGGTGGTCCAGCTCAGATGCAGCCAGCTGCGAAGGGAGGCCTCTCCCCCCCCCCCAAAAGTCAAACCAGACCAGCCGGAAATGCCAGGGATGTTTTCTCCTCAAGGTGGCATTGGAGGAAGAGGCCAGGCCCACTCAAGGGTGGCTTGCATTGGGGGGTGGGGGGGTGTCTGTGGCAAGGGGGTCAGAAAAGTCAAACTGGCTTTCTTCTCCTCCGTTCTTCCTCCCCTCTGCTCCCCAGTTTCCTTCCTTCCTTCTTTCTTCCCTTCCCTTTTTCTCCTTCCTTCCCTTACCCTGCCCTTCCCTCCTGCATCCTTTCCGCAACTCCTCTGTCCCTCCCTTCTTTTCTTCCTCCTCTCCTCTCCTCCCCTCCCCTCTACCCTTCCTCTCTCCCTCCCTTTTCTCACCTCTACCGTACCCTACCTTTGTCTTCCCTCTTCCTCCATCCCTTCTTTTCTTCCTCTCTCTCCTCTTCCTTCCCTCCCTCCTCTCTCCCTCCCTCCCCTCCCCTGTCCTCTTCACCCCTTTCCTTCCTTCCCTTCTTCTTTGCCCTCCTTTTGTCCCTCCCTCCTTCCTTCCTTCCTTCCTTCCTTCTCTTCTCTGTCCACCTTTTGTCCTTCCTTTCTTCCTTCCCTTCTTCTTTGTCCTCCTTTTGTCCCTCCCTCCCTTCCTTCCTTCTCTTATTCTCTGTCCTCCTTTTGTT